GAGAGAGAGAGAGAGAGAGAGAGAGAGAGAGAGAGAGAGACTTGATTTGTTTCAGTAGTATTCCGTGTGCTGTTTAGCCTAATGTCTAAAACATTAAATACAAACCCATTTGAGAATTAATAGTGCCTTTAATTCATGCAATAATTATTAGGAATTTTATACAAAAGTGAAAACTGTTCACACATTTTGTGTTAATTCAATTCATTTTTATATTACATTTATATAATTTTGCAAAATTTTACAAAAGCTTTACAACAAGATTCTTATTACAAAAATGTCGGCAATGTATAAATTATACAATAGTTATATTCATATAATACTTTTAAATTTAAAAGTTATTTAATTTTAATTCATTAATCAAAACACTATAAAAGCAAAAATATTTTTAAATGTATTTTAAAGTTGTTTCAATGGTTTCAGACACTTATGTAATGAGGAAAATATATTTCTAACTTCTCTCTCTCTCTCTCTCTCTCTCTCTCTCTCTTGAGAGAGAGAGAGAGAGAGAGAGAGAGAGAGAGAGAGACTTGATTTGTTTCAGTAGTATTCCGTGTGTTGTTTAGCCTAATGTCTAAAACATTAAATGCAAACCCATTTGAGAATTAATAGTGCCTTTAATTCATGCAATAATTATTAGGAATTTTATACAAAAGTGAAAACTGTTCACACATTTTGTGTTAATTCAATGCACTTTTATATTACATTTATATAATTTTTGAAACTTTTATTTAAAGCAATTGCAAAATTTTTAAAATATAATATACACAAAAGCTTTACACCAAGATTCTTATTACAAAAATGTCGCCAATGTATAAATTATACAATAGTTATATTCATATAATACTTTTAAATTTAAAAGTTATTTAATTTTAATTCATTAATCAAAACACAATAAAAGCAAAAATATTTTTTAATGTATTTTAAAGTTGTTTCAATGGTTTCAGACACTTATGTAATGAGGAAAATATATTTCTAACTTCTCTCTCTCTCTCTCTCTCTCTCTCTCTCTCTCACTCATCCTTTATCTCCATCTCTCTCATCCCTTATATTCTCTCTCTTTCTCTCCATACAGACCAACCTTTAGTGAGTTTGCAATACAAGGGACAGTCCATTGAGAGCACAGTCGTGAGCGAAGGCGAGGAGATTATAATGGAGTGTTCAGTGAATAGCAATCCATTAGCAAAAGTCATACTATTCACACACCACGGCATCCAATTAGTCACCGATTCACAGTCAGGTATGTCTTCATCCATAGCACACACACACTCACACCTGCCTGTCTGTCTGTCCCCATCCATCCCCTCCCACATCACACCACATCACTACTACCCTAACAACTATATCAGTGCCCCTATTATACCCACAATCGATGCCATAAATCAACCGCATATATGATCACATCCTAACTCCCACACCGTTTTTATCAATCCTATAATGAATTGTATTGTTATATTTATCGCACCGATATCTGTGTGTGTGTTTCGCGCAGGTATTATAGTAAATAACTCGTCGCTGGTCATCACCAGCGCCCGACCCATACACCGGGGCTCATACCAGTGTCTGGCCATTAACTCGCAGGGAAAGGGTATGAGCCGTGAAATTAATATCACCATTCATTGTAAGTATAGATATTAGGGGTGATTAGCACCGAGTATTGGCCAAATTGAGTAGTAATTAATCATTTCATACCTAACACAGATGCGCCCGTTTGCCGTCAACTGTCCACAACCGTACGCGTGCTGTCACTGGACGAACCATTACGGCTATTATGCGCCGTCGACGCCGAGCCCGCCGACGGACTACGATTCCAATGGCGCTCAAACTCGACCGCATTCCTGTCCGGCCGCGACTTTGTCGACGACGGGCCCGTCAGTGCGCTAACCCTACCGCCCGACTCAGTGGCCCGACTCGTGGACCCAACCGACCCAATCCAGTGTACGGCCAGCAACGCTGTGGGCGTCGTACGAGAGCCCTGTGTGTATCACTTCGCTCAGCCCACTCGACCCCTACCGGTGACCGATTGTCAGCTCCGGAACCGTACGGCCAACGCTCTGATTGTTGATTGTGTAGCCGCAGCCACAGCTCCGGCAGACCCTCCACCCAACCAGAGCTATCTCATTGAGGTGTTTGATAGTAACCACGCGATGGTCACTAATGAGACCAACGACGCGGTGCCCGTGTTTGCGGTTAGAGGTCTGGCACCGGTGGCCAGTTATACGGCGCGCGTGTATGCCGTCAACCGGTTGGGCAAAAGCGATGCCTTCCATATCAAACTTCAAACGCATAAACTTTTTAATAAAAAATTCAGTAATTATTTTGTTTATATTTTAAAGTTTATTTTATTATCAGTGATAATTTATCACTCATAGAATTATAATTAAAATTTGTATAAATATTGTTTTACGATTATTTTAACTAAAATTTATTAACTAGTTTATAATAAAGAAATTAATTTAATTAAACTAAGAAGTTTTATAAGTAGTTTTATAAATGTTTCTTAACTATATTATTTTATAACGTTATAGTTTTGGACAGCCCTCAGACGGATACCTATGACATGTGGACAGCACTGGGGATTGCTTTACTAGTGATCGCAATATTGGTGTTAATTATAATCACAATAATATGCAAAATACGTGTTAGAGATCGTAATAAGTGCAAGAAAAATGACAAATTGACCGCCGATTCAAGCGATGATCAATCATTGGCTAATAAAATGCTTAATAATATAGACAATCAAAAGTGAATATAAAAATTTGTTATTTGTCTGTATTTTTTATGATAACAATAAATCTATTTTTTTATTCACAACAAAAATAGATATTCAATATATTTGGTGCCAAACGATACGATCGACCAGAATATTCTGTTGAGTGATATCAGGAATCCTGATTTGATTCCCGAAATATATGGTAATTATAATTGTTTGAGAAAATATTTTTGTTGATTTATTTTTGAATTTTATTTAAGAAATTTTTTGTTATTGATTACAGATATTGAAGGCATTGAGGGTCTGTCCGATCGCACCGACTGTTTATCTATAATGACGGGCACAACGGCTTCGGTAACGACTACGGGGGCGGCGAATCACATACAATCAAACGGCGATATTCGCCACAAATTGCCGACAAATTTAAATAATATTCATCACAAGAATATTCTGGAGAATAATGTTTTTGTTACGAATCAGAGCCTCAGATCTCAACACCAAATCAGCAATAAATCAATTCTCCCCTCAAATGCCATTGAAATACATGCCGTAATCTTTGATTTTTTATATTTTATTGTTTTGCAAAAATATTCAAATCTTATTGAGAGAAAGAAAGGGGAGAGAGAGATTGCAATAAAGTACTCATGAAAAAAATAATATTTATAATTTATAAATATTTTTCAATTGCAGATCCAGACGAATACAACTGAAAATACTGTCTATCCATTGACGACCGCTGTTTAACATTATCTCCAATGATATTTATATTGCAATTTAATCACACATTTGATATATAATGTACACTAACGGTGCTATCAGTTATATATAATACATATCAGTGCCTTTTTCTATAATGATGTTATATTTAGTTAGTTTTATTAAAACAATTTCTAATTATTTATATAATTTATATAAATATATTTTATATACAATAATTCACGTGTAAAACACTTTATTGAAATAATAAAATGAATTATTATAATATATTATACAATACTTACTGTATTTAATTAAATTTCTCATTTTTAATATATTATTAGTTTAATTTGTAATCAATTATAATATTGAAATTTGTAGTCAATTTTGTAATTAATATAAAGCTGCTTGATGATAGTAAAAGCAGCACATTTAAGAAATTAATTTCACGAATAATAATTAAATACAATTGTCCATGGGCAGTTTAGTGAACAACAATTGCAACCCTTAATATTGAATAATGAATACACTATTCATTGATGTAATAATAAATTATTACATTATACAGAATACGTGTGAATCAAAGCATAAGCCAAATAAATGCATTAATTCATGTTGTCTTCATTTTTACACGTGAACACTTCACTGGTCTCTCTCTCTCTCTCTCTCTCTCTCTC